CTGAACCTGTGGAAGACTTGCGCAGTCGCTTCCTGCGCATAGATGGGGACAATGGAGCAGGACTGCAACGAGAATCTGGACCCCATGTTGATTCACTAGATGTTAACATCTCTCCCTTATCAGACGATACACTGAGGGACTTGTTCACATGCATTTGTTCTGCAATATTCTGCTGCGGAATTTCTGCCAATCCCTTGATTTTCAGCATTTCAGCTGTCTAAGGCAAGAACACAACAAAAAATGCTTAAAATACTAGCAAATAACTGGCTCTGCCAATATTTTAAGAATATCAGTTATAAGAAATTATATTGACATACAAAATCTCACAGTCACAGAGACCTATCTCTAAACATGTTCTTCATTCATTTCCTGTCATAAAATATGCAGTGTATTTAAATAATGTGAATTACCAGGATCCAGCAAATGGCTCGGTTCTATTACAAAAATTTAGCATTCAGCTAAAATCACTTTAAATGCATACATGTATACAACACATTATTTGGTGACACCAAACTTGCACAGATTACAAAGTAAGATGTGAAGTTCACCAAATTTAATATAATAAAAAATTAATATATAAAAAACAAACTGAAACAGCATCTTGTAATGATGTTACATGTGCACATCACCCTCATTTTTAGCATGATAAGAACACAATAAGTTTATATATATCATTTTATTTATTATATTGCTATTGAGAGAAGAGTATTTATCTGGATTAAGTACACCTTTCAAAGCACAATACTTGAATTTATTATTTACAAGTAATCACAATTCTTATTACTATACATTTCACAAATAATCATATGTTTATCAATCATACCAAATACTGTGGGCTTTACAGTACAAAGTATTGATAAGAACATCTGCCTTTTAGGATTCAACAATCAACAATATTCTCCTTCACAAGCACAAAAGTTACTAACTCCTACCACAAACTTAAAAGTATTACTAAATGTAATTATGATAAAATTAATCATACTGTTACAACATTAATTTATGTGTAAAAGAATTAACTCCATGGAGCAGAGTACTTCTTCAAAAGCTGATTAATCAGCAAAAACTGAACAAATCAGAGAAAAGCCTGTCCAAGTGGTACTTTGTTATGGACTGCCTGAACCTAGACCTCCATGCTGAGAAGTTGGCAAGTAACTGCATGTATTATAGCAAAGCCACATAAAATGCCAGATGTTAGAAAATGGAAAAACAAGGATTTATAAGTGTTGATGCCGTACCTTTAAAACAGCTGTAAGATCTTCCTGTAAAATATTTACTTCGCCATAATACATGAAGTCCACTATTGTCTTGAGATTACTGTACTTCACATCTTTCAAAATGACTATAGGATGTTGGCATGGATTCACAGAGAACAATGTCTGAAAAGAAAAACCAAACATGAAAACCTCAATAATGTATGTTTGGTGACAACATAAGTCACTATGTAATGAAAACTAAGATCAACATACACATTAAAAACCTATAAGACAGTTTTTATTTTAATACTAATACATCTGGGCAAATCTAAAGGATCCCCTGGGCTCTACTGAAAACAAAAGATACAATAGAAATACAACCTCACAATAAGTGTGAAATTAAGCAATATACTGAAATGTTCTAGCGAGTCTCTGAGAGACTGTGCCACATAGTCAAATTAATGCAAATGTAACAAATTACTTCTGGAAAATCACAACACACATTTGTCTTTTAGAAAATTCTCGTTCATGTTAATTCTCAATTAACCAATTTCTTGCAGCAGTCATTCTTCAGAAGCTATTAGTCACTCGGCTATTCAAAAAATTCACCATCTTTTATGCATTTTGCTGTAAAACTAAGAAATTAAGGATACCTGAAAATATGTACTACATGCTGAAAGGACAACTCTGTGAGCCTGCAAGTGCTTTCCTTCAGCTGCCAATGTGACATCCACCAAGGATTCATTGTTTAGCAGGTTTGTGAAGACTGATATGAAGTTTGGTTGATGATTATTCCACCGCAAACAAAACTGCTGTATTGACATAACTGACTTCTTATTTGTTTAAGAAGTAATCTGAAAAGAGTAAATATATTTAATGTTTGTTTTAAGAGAGATTTTAAACATAAGATACACAAACCTTAACAAGTTGGTATCACTAGTCTTCTTCATTCAAAGCACATGAAATGTGACAAGTGATCAGTAGGAAAGTCTTCCTTACAATATGTGTATTATGTATACTTTTAGCCAATTATGGCATATAATAACAATAAAAGGAATATAAATTTTAATTTTCTCTGTTGCAAAGACAGCAACATACACATAACTAATACAATACTGATAAAGCTGTTAAAAGTGAAAGTTACAATCGGTGCTTGTAAGTTATTTATTGATACTGCATGAAGTGGTAGAGGACAAAGTAAGAAATGGTAGGATAGTCAGGAAACCAGATAAATGACAAAAAAAACAATGAAATAGAATTAAGTATTAGTAAACCCTCAACCTTAGAATACTGAGAAGATTACAAGTTATTGTGTTATATCTTATATACTTTAAATTTTGGGTTTTATATACTTTATACACTTGAAATAAATACATGGCTTTACTACGAACTGAGAAACATGGAAAAGTTCTGTGTGGAATGAATGCATGCCTGTACATATAGACCACAAAAATGTACACATGTATGCACATATACTGAACAGCTTATACTATGTCTGTACAGGACAGAGCCACAAAACTAATGTAATGGTAGAAAGTACAGTAATACCACTGTGACTCATATCTATGATACTTTAACATAACAGGTTTCATGATACAATAAGCAAGGGAATGGAATATTGCAAGACATTCCACTTTGTGAGCATCCCACAAATAGAGAACACACCACTATGACTTTTAATTAGATAGCAGCATGTAACATTCTACAGCTGTGGAATGTGTTTGTCTGTAACTTCCTATCACCATTATTTAACACTGCTTCTTTGAGCATTGTTTGGACTGGAGTCTGTTTTAAGAATGATGTATCAACTGAACAGCTATATTATTTAGCATTAAATGAATAATGAAAGGATGATTACGATTGGTGAGTTGGAATGGATGTTAAATAGATACCACCACAGCATGTACCTGACACAAACAAAGACAAATCATGAACATTATAGTTCAAAAAGCTAGCCTCAAACTACACAGTGACACTCGGTAATAACACTATAATAGACGTGGAAATTAATTTTCAAGCACTCTACACTCAAGTAACTAGCACCATCTCCCTTCCCCTTACTTGGCTCTGATTTACTGATGTTCCTGGCCTCATCATTAACCTAATTGTATAGAACTCACCAAGTTCCCAACCCTCCCAGACTTCAATTCTGAAGATGGAGACATCATGTTCTTGAGAATGATATATAGAGCACAACAAAGAGAAGACCACTATCTTAATTTCAATGACCATGAAAACCAAAAACCCTACAAGGTAGCAAGACCTTCAACCCAACAAATTGCTTCTTCTAGAGTAATTATTTTGTCACTGGATCGACAGACAGACAATATGCATTCACAGCTTGATGACAGCCTTTCACACAACAGTTACAGCATTCAAAAGCCTAAAAAGTAAGTGGATATCAGAAAATTCAAAACCATTCTCTTTGGGCTAAGACATTTTTTTCTTACCCGTGCACATTTAATAACACAAAGTAATTTTTCTACCTATTCAAAACTATGCAGGAATCTGCAAGCAGATTATTATTCACTCATCCATTATTTTTCATATAGTGATAAATTTCTGACAATAGGCATACATCACAGGGCCGCATGATATAATTCATATTCAAATAATACTTCATTTTATACTTGTCCCAATAGTTTATTTTCCACAAATATGATATGTGATCAAATATTTTCTGAATTGACTGCAAGTGTAAGTTGAAATTGTTACATTATGTTCAAACACAATCTGTTGAAATCATTTACTCCAAATTTTAAAACCATAAGATGTGTTATTCAGAAATGACATGTCATTAAATAATGTTTTGTGTATGCTAAACACAATTATTGTTTTTCAAACAATTGTAGATTTTAACCTTTATCATCCATGTTACGTGACTTACACGTGATCGAACTGTTCATGTGTCACACTAGCATACCACAAAATTGTCAACCCTTTCAGCTAAGGCCAGCTGGCAGACCTACAACAAGGTGATTAAAATCCCATTCCAGAATGATAAGAGGTTAAAGTTCAGCACCTGTAGCTAAAATTCTATTTCACATTAGTAAAAATTGCTATTGAAAACTACATCTTAAAGCTGCAAATCAACACTTCTACACAAATATTCTGTGGCATCTATGGAAAAGATGTGGTGAAAATGCCCTGCAAATCAGTGCAGTGAAGATTGTCACAAAGACTGTACCATTATTTTGTTGCATCAATGAAGAATTATAGGAATAATTCCCCCTTCTGGTGAATAATTAAAATATGTTATAAATCAGTCAGTACAGTAACCATCAATCACCAGAAGACTGGAGTACAGCCAACTTCCAAAACGCAGTGTATATCAAATGTGCCTTAAGCCATGGGAAATGTGCAACATACTATTCCTATAATGACTCAACCATAGTCACAAACCTTTAAAGAATCATTAATGAATAAAGCTGGTAGAAATTATGATTTAAGTAAAAATGTATGACATAAACCTACCCTTACACACTTTACATTAACTTGCCCAAAAGTACTGCACATACAAGAGCCAAATTGGCTTAGAATTTTTTTATATATTCGACAATACTTTCTGTCAGAAGAATATAATTTTCCTGTATTAGCACTGGCAGATGACACAATAGTATTGTCACTATACTTTGGAAGTGAAAAAGGGAAGATCACACGTGTTTGAACGACTGTATTTATACATATCAAATCACACTTTAACCTAGCCTACTCTATGAATTCGTTGCTGGGGGATGGGCAGACAGGCTGTATTGAAAAAAAGGATTCTATTCATTGTCTAATAAAATTTCGTGAATATTAAGTATTCCATAAACAAAACACACTTGTCACTACACAGGAAGTTAATAGCAGGTTTAGCGACCATGCAAACATCAAAACATTGTTACCTCCAAAATTCTTACTCTATGCTGGTTCCCCTTTAATAGAAGCTCCGAAACTCTACAAATGACGCCAGTGTAATTTCTAATGACGTCAGATTTGCGCAAGTCTGGTGGGCGGCCTTACTGTACAATGACGCCTGGGGGGGGGGGGCC